CAGCTCCTATTCGGTCGAAAACCAGCCTGCTCTACCGGAATATTCTCAAAAATTGTATTGCTCAATCTGTTGTAAAGAAGTCTCTCTAATAGCTTATACATCACACTCAAGAGTGAGATAGGTCGATAGCTCTCTGGTCTATCGTTAGGTTTTCCAGGTTTCAGGATAGCTATGATTTTAGCTTGTTTCATAGCGAAAGGAATTTCACCTTTCTGTAAGATGTCAGTAAAGAAGCGAGCCAGCCATTGCTTAGTATACTTGCCGCTGTGTAACAGGAATTCAGGATGGACACCATCATTTCCAGGGGCTTTACCAGCTTTTATTTGTTTAAGGGCAGCATAGATTTCTTCAGTATCAAAAGGTAGAGAGTACGCTGTATCATTTAAACATTTAGCTTTAATGGACGTAAGTTCTTTTTTAATCTTAATTGTGAATTCACGATCTCTAGGAGCTCTAGATATGTTTAGTATATGTTCTGCAATACTATTTGGAGTAATCAAGATTTCTCTACCTGATTTGACAGTTGCTCCTCCCAATCTTCTAAGCAAGGACCAAGCCTTCCTACTTGACTTTGTAAAATCCAAATTTTGTACAGTGTTTATCCATCTAAGGCGCCTGGCATCATCTAAGCTATGAAGTAGTTCATCCCCTAATTCAAGATCACCAGATTCCAGGAACTTCCTATATAGTGATTCACTTTTTTCACTCCATCCTGGGATATAAATCTTGCGATATCCTCTAGGTATACATTTCTTGGCTACGCTAAACAGTGCTCCAACAAACCTTTTATAATTGTTGGATGTAGGTGGGATCCATCCCAAACATTTGTCAAGATCTTCTGAGAACAAAGTCCAGTTAGCCTTGTTAAAATTCCATCTTGGGCGTGGTATACTATTTACTATAGGAATACTAAGTCCAATTCCAATAATTATTGGGCAGTGCTGGCTATGCGGGAACTGATTTAAAACTGTTCGTGTAGCTGATAACGGTTGTCTATTGTTATCTGAAGACACAAAGCACAAGTCAGGATTATATTCACAACCCCAAGCGCTGGACCTAAAGGTGCATCGATCTTTAGCATCAAACAGAAGATAAAGATTATTTTCCTCTGCCCATTTAAATACCATGTCACCATTTTTATCAGTGTCACGGTATTTCCAGCATTCATGGTGGCTGTTGAAGTCTCCCAAGTAGACAGCAGGATGGGGTAAATGTGGTAAGACGTGTTGTGGCCAAGTTATAGCTGGGGGTTTATAGATATTGCTGATTGTAATTTGTCCAACAATTTGTTATAAAAAGTTTTAATTGGCATAAGTTTGAGCTTCTGTATCATTTTGAATAAAATGCATTTTATAAGCATAAAATGAAGCTGTCAAACTGAATTAGCTACATGGGAAATCCTCGTGAACTTTGACGTATAGACCCGGAAGTTTTGCCAGCACCTCACTGATAACGAGAAAGGCTTAGGTTTAAAATTTGAGCTTTCTGGACAGTGGTTTCTCTCTCTACGAGCGTCTGCAGTGCCGGATGAAGAAAATGAAGAAGAAAATCTCTCTTTTTTTTTGCAGATTTTTGCACTTTTCGAATGCTTATATTGCAGCAACCGCTTTATACAAAATCTTGAAATTTTGCACACTACCTAAGAAAATAATTTTCCTTCGAACGAGACGGGATATTCGAAATTACCATGGGTGTTTGGGGCGGAAAAATCGATCCCCGAAAATCGGAAACTAATTCCTGTATGTTGTCAGTTAGTGACTTTTTTAATAGCCGTCAGGGTCACTACCGTGACTCCTGATATAAGATACTAGATTATTGGATCAAATTTCATCAGTTATTATTAAATACAGAATGTCCTCAATATATGTCATACTTAAGTTCCTAAAACACGTCGTGAACGAAATGGTGTACATCGAATATCAATTTCTCTCTCACCGAAATAATATATGTGACATAGCCGACCAACTAAAGACAATTTATGTGAAAGTGTCTAGTGTACAGTACATGTGTTATTTGTCGTCTTAGTGAAGAAAATTGCACAGTAGGCTTTGGTTAACGTAGGTCTTGAACAAAATGGATATTTTTTAATAGTATTATTCCGATTTAAACAACTGTTTATATAAACTATTTTAACTAACTAGTACAGTAAACCTGTGTAAGCCGGAATCGCACGTTACTGAATAATATCTATTTTATTCAAGTTTTACTGTTTTAAGTTTACATTTCGTAGATTTTTTAAAATAATCTTTTAAATAGTTTTGGGTGTGATTTTAACAGCAGCAGCTGCTGATAAGCACTGCAAAACTGCAACATCCCCCCTAAAAAACCACCAAAATATTTATTATATACGGTTAAAAATAAAATAAAACCCAGCGCCGATCAAAACAATTCTTGTTCGTAATAGGCTGGTAGAGCTTGAATTACTAGGCTATGCAACTGTCACAAAACTATTCTTTTTCTTCAGTGACAATGTTTATCGTCGAGAGTTGAGTCTTACAAGTTAGTTACGAGGCTATATGACACCGTTAACTTGATCTGTTGTGTAGATTGTATTGATACCCTCTAGTGGCAGAAGACATTGTAGTAATGGAAGAAAGACATAGGGTCATAAAGTGAAGGCTTAGGCAGTCACTGATGGTGTTTAGGTTATGATGATGTAGATGGGACTTTGGACAATAATCGTATGTCATGGAGTTTGGCGGTCACTTAAACGATGAAGGGTAGTTTATGTAATGTTGTGACAGTAAGTGCACTTGTCAATATGATAAAGGCCATGCTTGTGAAGAAAATGGTTGGTGATGAGCATGAGTGATCTTTTGTGCTGCTAGGTAACTTTATACTGTACTAGCAGATGGGCCCGGCATTGCTCGGGCAAAAGTAATGATAACTAAGATAAAGATTATTACGTTACAGTCAACCTTACCCGTTTTCACAGAATGCAAGAATTGGGTCCCCTTGTTTCCAGACTAATTAGAGAATTTTTAGATGGGTCTAAAAATATGTTCGATTTCACAGAATGCAAGAATTGGGTCCCCTTGTTTCCAGACTAATTAGAGAATTTTTAGATGGGTCTAAAAATATGTTAGATTTCCCGCAAAAACTGCATCTGTGTCTTGCACGTCACTTTCTCTTAACAATTCCATTGTTGATGGAAGTGTTAATCCTTAATTAAATCCTGTCTCTCTCCCCCGGGGGAATTTCGAAATATCCCTTCTTACAAGTTAGTGTGTGTTTGTGATGTACCCTATCAGTGTACCAAATATCAACTTTCAACTCCTAACTGTTTGGGCTCTGCGCTTATTATCATTATCAACTGGTCTCGATTATATATATATATAGAAACGTCAATAATAGACTTTCCTTATAGACAGAAAGTACTAATTCATGTATTGCCATCTAGTGGAGAGAGAGACAAATACATATAAAAATCCATTGCAGGTTTATTCAATTAATAAAAAATCTGTAGGTTTGATTAGTGGTAAACATTCCGGAGATCATAAAGATGCTACAGTTAAAATTTGGTAATGACTGGTTCAGTAGTTTTCGCGGTTAGTGGTCACAAATGAAAAATACGTTCTCTCTTTATATAGTAGTAAAGATTATATAATTTTACTATTCGAATGCCTCCATACCCCTTGTCCTATAGAAAAAAAGGACTATTGAGGAAGGGAGTCAAAGTTAATTCAACCAAAAGTAGTCAACCTCCTCCTGGAAGAGGATGGTCACAACTACTCATTAATATTGATATACTATTAATATTTGAAAAGTGATCCATATTGGATGGGTTGTGATGACCCCACACATGACTGAAGTTGCTAACCTTAATGTCCAAAAGACTTCATATGACTTGTTTAAATAGAAAAAAAAAAGCTTGTAAAAATGCTAGAATAATTGTGTGATAATAAATTTAAACGTTTGGCAACATTGTATAAAATATGCAGGAAGTGTGTTCTTGTGAATAATGTGATTATGGAAAAATTATTGGGCTGCAATTTGAAAAAATTGTAGACCTATAAATTCTCACTGTTGTCACCTGTCTACCTTAATCTTGAGAATGGAGTTAGATAGATGAAAGTCGAAACCAGATATGGAAAGCTTAGGGGCAGGCAGCCTCAATTAACTATATACAAACTTCCAGTTTGTACCAAAAGCCGTTATTTCTATTAAAAAAATTTTCCCTGAACTGAGATAGATGATTGGCACGACTATTGCTATCAGGAAAAGTATGATGTACGAGGCAAGACATTACTAAAAAATTGAGAACATTGACGAAAAATTGCAACTCGGTATTGTGACAATATCACAATAAATAAATGCTTATTTGTATATTAATTTTATAGACAATGATCTAAACCTCAAAACATTTTGAAATAATTTATTTTATTACCAGTTAACATTCAGAATTTATAAAGAATTACACAGTTGAAAAATCACCTTATCTGGACATACCTCATTTGAAAAAGTTACTTCTAAAATTTAGCTACAAAAATGTTTCCAAATCTTCAAAATTATTTTCTAAATCTACATATATAATACATATTTATATAATATACTGTATATATAAAGTGCAAAGAAAAAAAAAAAAATATATATATATATATATATAAAATAATTTCCAATAGCTTCTCCTCTCTCACCAAAAAATATTTTCCTCCCTTATGCAATTTTACCAGGGAATTTCAGACTTAAGTATGAGCACGCCGGAATTTGCTGCAGTCTGATGCATTGTACCACTCTAAACGAGCTCGAATTTGTGATTGATCTGTCATTCATTTGACCAAGACCAATCAAAACAAAGCTTACAGCCTTTACCACAAAATATGAAAAGATGGATCACGATATTCTTCCCCATAACATGTGTGGAAGTAAGAGACTGTAAAATTTACTTATGGGCAAAGGGCTACAAAAGAGAAAAACATTAAACAATGAGGTATGTCCAGTAAGGTGTTTCATTCGTCCTCAACTGGGAGCTTTGGCAAAGAGGGTGTAGGTCAGATCGTAATTCTTGAAGCGGCAAAACTGTAGTTCTGTACGACAGTAGTTACGAAATTCAGCACAGTGAAATTCATTGTGTGTGTTGATGGCCAGAGATAACTAAATTAGAATGAAAGGTTTGTCAATTTAAAAGTGAATTATAACACTAACCCTTAAATTACATACCTTATTTGCCAAAATGGTCATAATGAATTTGCCTGGATGAAAAGTACGCAGTAATCGAGAAATCAATTCATGATAAGATTCCTAAATATTAAAGATAAAATTCTCAACATAAAACCAAATTTTTAAAAATATAACAATTCTATAATTCAACTGCATCCTCCAGACCAGTGGTTCTCAATCCATGCATGGTCCACAGAACACAGGTGCTCTATGAAGCCACTTCAAGTGTTCCATGAAAAAATAAAATATACAATTAAAAATTGCTGCAAAAGAAAAATTGATTCCCATACAAAAGTTATTGTACATTGTATGTAATCAGCAAATGTCAATGACCAACTAGACCAAGTGTGCTCTTGATTTCAAAAAGGTTTGCCACCCCTGCTTTAAAGCTGGTGTATTGTAAGCATTCCGCGGAAAAAAAAATGTCAAAGTTCAGTGTTCCCAGATTTCAAAAAGATTGAGAACCATGGCCTAGATCAGTGTTTTTTAATTACTGGTCTATGGACCACTAGTTCAAAAAAATATCACTGATCCACAAAAAAAGTTTTGATCATACTGACACTGAAACAGTTAATTGCAGATGACATTTAAATAGTAATCTAGAATTACATACAGAAACTGTGGATAAGCATAATTCATAGGTGCATATAATTATTGGTCCACGTAAAATTATGAATATTTTTACTGGTCCATGGATAAGAAAAACATTAAGAAACACTGCTGTGACAATCTACAGTAACAAGTCTTGCCAAAACATTTCTCAAATCTAACTTTTTGTGACATCCTTGTTACAAAATGCATTTTGAAACTACTGTTAGAAAAGTTTAATATTAAGAAATAAAATGTGTGTTTTGGAAAGACTTGTCTTATTGTAGATTTTGTCGATAGGACTGAAGTTGAATTACATAAATAATCAAATTACCTAAAATTTATTACAAACCTGAGGAATATTAGTTTCAAAACTCACATACGAACAAAGTGGTTCTGGTGTGATGTGAATTGTTATGTAATAACCCTACATATAAATAAGATTATTAATCATCAATTTTAAATTGATTTCAAAGATTAAACAAAACTTACTCCTTTCAGTAAACCATTCATAGAATATCCACATGGATTAAAGAGAAAATCATCAATAGTCACCCCTGGTAGCAGTTTATCAATTCCTGACTTCTGAGTTGCATCTTTAGCAGAGGAACTCACTTCTCTTGTGAATATTTTCATTATCTTTTGATCTAAATCTTGCATGATAATGTGTTTTTCATTAAGGAATATTTTAAAGCAATTATTATGTCAGTTGAAAAAATTAATGAAAAGGATATCTCCAAAGTTTGGTCTGGAACTTGAATTCCTCCAAATTGTACAGATGGATTCAATGTATACAGATACCTGTAATAAAATTTAAAACTTCATAAATTGAAAACGATTGAATCTTAAAACTAAAATCTAATTGTTTTTCAATTAAAATATTTTCCTACATAATGGTCAAAAAGTTACAATGCAGAAACATCTAACAAATATACACATTTCAGATTTTTTGACAGTCACTTTGTTTATTGTGACACATATTGTAAATCAAAAAATCAAAGACTTAGTGATAAAAATATGAATCCTGTTGATGGCCAACATTTCATTTCCTGAATGTTTAAGACTGTGGAAGCACAAACCTTTAAAGTGCTTCAATTTGGAAAACACTTTGGCTCACTACACTAACTTGGTCATCTCTAAATTCATTTAACTTCTGCACATTATGATCCTGATGTAATGGTGATGCAACATGTATTACAAGATCAATAGATTTCTACAAGTTGGATACCTTCTGCATAGAAAAGAAGCAGCAGCATTACAGTTTGTCTCAGCACAATCACTATTGTTAAACTGGCACAGTCCACATAAATGGTTGGTGTGGATGTCCATCACATGGCCAATCTATATATATAACCCATTCATTTCGTGTCCGTCCCGTAACCGTTTCATAACGGACACTAGAGGCGCCCCTATCGTGTGTCATATTTCAAACACCAAATTAAATTAACAATTTTAATTATTATTTAAATTAACAATATAAATTATTATTATTCATTTGGCCAATAAATTATTATTTGGTCAATATAACAATATAAATAATTTAGTATATTTGTAATAGGAATTTATTATTTCAGAGGCTTATATCTCGCGAAGGGTCGTGAGTAGGGGTATGGTTCCTTTGACTTTATTGTTCGCACAGGGGGCTACAGTTTGGGGGGGGATCGCCACCTCTTCATTCGGAGGGTAAATTTTACCATTCGGACTTTTACAGAGCTGTAGAGCATATTGATGGGAACAAAAAAGTCAAAGGAACCGTGCTTCATGGAAATTTGTAAAACACGCCCACTAGGGGGCGTCCCTGGCTACTAGTTCATATATATTGAAAATGGGGGAAACATCATACATCTATTATTCTGTTCCCATAAGTGTTTATACTTCAAACTATGAAAGAAGTATGCATGCACATTAGCATTTAAAATTTGGGCCTCAGTTACAACCAAAAATATACTTTGGAAGAGTACCAGAATCAAAATTTTTAAATGTGTGTGTGGTTAATTCAAGAAGAAAGCATATAACCTTATAAGAGAGAGATTATGACCCTGAAGTATATTTGATATTTTAAGTAAATTTTAAATATATATGTAAAGATAAGTTAATCAAATATGAATAGATATTAAGATATATAAATGAATTATGAATTACAATTCAGCGAAGATAATTTACTCTTATTTCAAATTTTATAATATTATTCTCTATGTTAGAGGATGCATTGTGGGCTACCAACAGATAGAAGAAAGGTAAAACTTCAGTCACCTTTCTTACTAATCAAAGAACCAAAATGTCACCAGTAATGAAGAAAGTGTTGTGCGCTAAACCTATTCAGTGTCTTTCTCCTCTTTTCTGTTCTCAAAATATGGATTTGCTTTAAGATATCAACTGAGTCATAGCATGCTGTGAACTTTACTTTCACAGAAATAAAATAGAAAACTTCCCCTTTTTACATTCCCTCATACTTTAAAATCAGCAATAATTTATAAAAAATATGTAGTATTTGTCTGATTTTAAAATTATTATTATGTAAACAAAGCAAAGTATACAATATTTCCTTGATTAAACCCTGGGAATAAAAAGAAGTGCTGATAAAATAGAGCCTGGGTTGAAAACATTCCTATTCATAAACAGCTTCTAGTCTAATTCTTATTAAACTGTTATTTTACTGTTTCCTATTTCTCAGGATTTATTGATCAGCTTATCACATGTTGAGACTTACAGGCACTCCTCACTTTACGACCGAGTTCTGTTCCTACGACTATGTCGTTAAGCGAGTAAGCTTGTGCCAGGAATATAGGATCGTTGTAAAATTATAAAAATTATGTAACAAACTTCAAATTTATTCATAAAAAGACATGCATATGTACATATCATTTGTTTATCTGGATCTGTAGAGGTTTTTTCCAGGTAAAGGAGATGACGACGACGATGAAATAAAAGTTGTACCTTCAAGGGCAAAGGTCTTGGATGTAACAGTCGAGAGGAAACTCTTAACTGTGGTTTGTGTTGTAATCTTTTTTTCTTGATAAATTTCTCTATTGGCAAGTGCCAAATACGACAGAGGGCACTGTTTTGAACCAAGATGGCTGCCAAAACAGGTAAGGAACCAACCACGTGTTTGTTCAGTGCCTGAACCAATTCAGTTTCTGTCGATGACTACTGCGAGGACCAAATGGAGGAAAAAAAAAAAAGTCAAATTCTAAACTATATCAGTGACAGAAAACGTTATTTTGTAGAAGGTGAAGCCGTTTTGGATGCTGAACACAACGTATTTTCTGGATTAAATTAACAACAAGCTGAAGTTCATGTTGTTGCTTTAGTGTTACAATCTCAGATATTGCCATTTTAATACATCTCAATTCAGAGCCGGCCCTACCATAGGGCGAATGGAGCAGCCGCTCCAGCTGCTAAGTCCTAGTGGGTGCCTCAGTGGTAAAGAAAATTAAAGGGTATAAATTAGGGGCAACCAAGGGGGGCACCATAATAGGATCTCGCTCCATTCTAAAAGTTGCCTCGGGCCGGCACTGTCTCAATTACAGGGAGAATGAACGTGCAAAGCAGGGCTGTCTGATTTTTGTAAACATGTGATAGCATGTTTATTACACGTTAACAGGTGAGAAGTGTTTAAATATTTTAAGCAGTATACACCATGTTCCAATATAAAAACATAGTTTTATCATAATAGTTAAAATTAGTGCCAATCTGAAGGCTACCCTACTGAGTCATTCTGCACTTATACAACATAGGCCAGTCAAAAGTTTGTAGCACACATTACATTCTCTCTCTGTCTGTGTGTGTCATATCTGTAGTCTTTTGAAAGTGCTAGTTTATGGTGTACAAGTAGGGTTGCTATGTTGTTACCAGTCAAAATCTAACATTTATTAAACAGATAAAGCAATAATAAGTAAATAATGATACATGAGACGTACACGCACACACACAGAACATAATGTGTGCTACAAACTTTTGACTGGCCTATGTTGTATAAGTGCAGAGTGACTCAGCAGGGCAGCCTTCAGATTGGCACTAATTTTAACTATTATGATAAATAAAACTATGTTTTTATATTGGAACATGGTGTATACTGCTTAAAATATTTAAACACTTCTCACCTGTTAATGTGTAATAAACATGCTATCACATGTTTACAAAAATCAGACAGCCCTGCTTTGCACGTGCACTCTCTCTGTAATTGAGATGTATTAAAATGGCAATATCTGAGATTGCAACACTAAAGCAACAACATGAACTTCAGTGTTGTTGTTAGAGTTTAATCCAGAAAATATGATGTGTCCAGCATCCAAAACGGCTTCACCTTCTACAAAATAACATTTTCTGTTGCCAATATAGTTTAGAATTTGACATAAATTCAGTGATTTTTTTTCTCTATTTGGTCCTCGCAGTAGTCGTCATTGACGAAAACTGAATTGGTTCAAGCACTGAACAAACACGTGGTCGGTTCCTTACCTGTTTCAGCAGCCATCTTGGTTCAGAAACAGCTCCCTCTGTTGGATCTGGTGCTTGCCAATAGCACCTCAAAAGTTCTCATATCCCACATTCAACTTTATGTTAAAACGCTCAGTATTAGGATCCATAGCCTCAAGTTCCAACATAGCCGCATTAATTTTGGAGAACACACCAGCTAACCCATGTACCATGAATTTCGTTTTTACTTCTTCAGTTCTTTCATCTTCTTACAAATACTGCATCACTTCTAACTATTAAATCTTCATTTGTTAGCTCTTCATCGGCATAATCCACTAATTCAGAAATGTCTTCCACTTCAACATCTAAATTAAGCGCACTGACAAGGCCCGCAATTTTTAAAATTACACCAAACTGACTAAAAAATCCATAGCAAGCCTATACTACACTCAGTGAGCATGTCACCAATTGCCACTGATCGACACTCAAGCTGAGAAAGGGGATTTCCCAAATTGCAGGTTGAAACTCAATTGGTCGTAAGTGCGAGTGGTCGTTAAGCAGATAGGTCGTAAAGTGAGGAGTACCTGTATTTGTATCTCCTTTATTATTCTACTAAATTATACATTAAACTACAAACATCTAGATTTTTTGCAATCCTAAAATACACTGTTTCATTATAGTCCTCTTTAGTAATGTTATATTGGCCAAACAAAACATTTGCCTAACTTACACAAAACACTAACATGTCTGAAATGTGTACACATGTAGGTATGGTTATCTTCTGTATAACAGTTACTGCACTTTTTGCAACCTATCTATGCTATATGAAACAAAAGACTACTACAAAACTTATAGTTAGGTTCCAAAAGTTAGAAAAAGTATTTTATTCTTTTTCATAAAAAAATACTTGAAGCAATTAATAACTAACAATCGCAATCAAAAGTGTTGCATATTAATATTAATTTTTCTTCACTGCTAAACACCATTAAATGAGGATGTTTTCTTTTTGGCAAAATATCATTAGAGTTTTATTGTTGACCTTAAATCAAGATATTACTAATAATTGAGATTTTCTCTTTTTCATAAAATCTGATATTTCCATTTGCATGTGTTTGCTATCTTTAAAAATTTAATCATTTTAGTAACTTTGAATTTAATATATAAAATAAAGTACAGAGACAGTCTTTTAGAGCACTGTCACCAACAGTAACAATATTTGGTTTATAAGAAAAAACTTAAATAGGAATTTAGGATAAGAAAGAAGAAAAATTGTATAATCAGTTCTCATTAAAAGAAAACTGAGTGAAAGGCACAAAACATTGAAAATTTCAGTATTCCAAAATCTATAGGCAAATATGAGACCACATGCATGCTTGTTTGAGTATCAAACTTAATTACAGTATTTCCATTCTTAAGCTATACTATTACACCAATATTTAATTACATTAACTTTTCATAAATAATCTTAAGAACAGAAGAATTGTGCTATAAGTGATTCCTTCCTCATATGTTAAATTATCATCAGCACTTAATTTTTTTCTTACATGTTTCTTTTCAAAATTCATCATCCTTATAAATTCGTGTTTGTGCTTGGTGTAACAATAAAAATTTCTTTAATTTTCCCACAAATATTACCTGGAAGTTTGTAATTCTTTGGCAAATTCTTATATTACTTGTTCCTTTTTAGCATAATGTATGTAGATTTTAACAACAACAACAACCTATTAGATCAAGCTTTCCTGTCCTAATATTGTTTAATAAGCATAATAATAAGTCTGTAGACTAAAGTAACACATTCAATAATGAGGAAAAATGAATTAACTTAGAGAAACAGCTTTATTTTCCAGTATGCATTTTAAGTCTCCTCCCCTACTTTTCCAATTATCCCTAGATTACAAGTACAAAAGTTTCAACTTATGTTTGTACTCCCACATATAACCAAAACAACTCAATTATCCTATCTGTCTTAAAATAAAGGAAGTTTGTATTGACCAAGTACAATCTTTCATTGTTTCAATTACAATTAGATATAACTAAATATAATTAGAACGCTATAACTAGATACATAGAAACAAATATAGAACTTAAAATAAAATTTTTGCTTAGGTCAATTCTCCCCATTGGATATTTTAAGTTATAATGGCAATTTGATAAGATCATATTTCAGAAAGAAAATAAATCAAAGCACAATATATATGATAAGCTCTTTATTTAACTTAACCCCTTCAGAAATTTTACAAATACCAATGATTAAAATGAAATTATACCAACTGTTTAGTCTCTAATTTTAATATTCTAAAAGTTTTAAATTATTAAAAAGATGCAGATCTGTTTACATAACAAATTAAACTAGAAAGCTTGAAAAATTTTAATAAAAATTAACCTATGATTTTAGTTTAAAATGCACATTTTAAACATGCCAACACAATTTCAAAATTACCTAATTTAAATAAATTCCTAACATTAAATATTTCAAAATGATATCCTCACCAACAATCTCTATTCACTTTTCCAAGACAGTATGCTGCTCCATCTGAAATTTTAATAATTAAAATTAAAATCAATCTTTCTTCAAAGTAATATTACAATACAGTAGAGCATCGTTTATCTGAATCGATTGGGGACTGGGGTTGTTCGGATAACCGATTATGTACGAAAAAAAAATATTAGCCTATCCCACGTTGAAATTTTTCTCCATTGCATGTTGCTTCACGTTGAATTTTCGTCAATGTTAAGCCTAATGTNCTAATTTTTCTACTTATAAATTTATCATTAGGTATTTAAAATAGTCATTACTTAAACTGTTTACTTAAAATATACAAATTTATATATTTTAAAAAATTGCCAGGACAAATTTAGATTTACAAAAAATATATTTCTTGGTAGACTATACATACTGGATGAGTATTTCATTCGGTCCTTTCACACGCTGTTGAGGTAATAACGATTCCACAGAGTCGACCTTTTATTGTAGGCTACTCATTCATCATCCAATGCAAAAAAAGTTAAAATAGTCCTCTAGTGGTGGCACAATGATAAAATTAATAAATACATTTTAAAAAATTGCCAGGACGAATTTAGATTTTAACTTTTCTGCATTGGATGGTGGACGAGTATCCTACAATAAAAGGTAAACTCAGCTGTGGAATCATTATACCTCAACAGTGTGTGAAAAGACCAAATGAAATACTCATCCAGTATGTATAGTCTATCAAGAAATATATTTTTTGTGAAACTTCTATACTTTGTTTACATTGTTGTAAAATTATTATTATTATTATTATTGTGAACAAAGATCACTTTTGCACAGACAAATTTTGTAAGTGATCCATGATACACCAAAGAATTATACATTGCTGTTTCTTTATTAAAAAGTCCTTGTATTTTTCACAGAAAACAAGAAAAAAATAATACAAGTACAAAATAGTAAGTTGGTTGGTAAGTTGAAGTAAGTTGGCCTGAATATCAATGTAGGACCTACAACTTTTATTCATCACTATCATCACACTTGGTTATAGGCATGACATGTCATGTGAAAAAACTTCTTTTTCAAATGCAGAAGTTTATTAAAAAAGCTTTGATATATTGGGAGAATGTACTGTACATCAGCAACTTCTGCAAATATTTATACTTTGTAGTTGTCAGTTTGTGCCAAAAATGGTTTTCAGGTGGCTCAAATTGCTGCAAGAGTTACACTATAGTATGTCAAAAAATGTTTTCCACTCTTGCAATGCTGAATGAAAATTGCTAAATAACTTTTGCATAAATCAACTAATTTAGATAATAAAAGCAAAAATATAAAGCAGAAAACTATAAATACAGTAGAGCGTCGTTTATCCGAATCAATTGGGAACTGGGGTTGTTCGGATAACCGATTATGTACGTAAAAATACATTAACCTATCCCGTGTTGAAATTTTTCTCCGTTGCGTGTCGCTTCGCGCTGAATTTTCGTCGATGTTAAGCCTAACATAAACTTTTTAAAATAATAATCGTGGCTATTGTATCGTTAAAAATTATTTCTTTATTTTTTACAAACAAAATAAATATATTGAAAAATATAAAAAAAAAAAAAAATTATACTTTAGAAGTTAATCTAGTATCAAAAACGTTTGATTCAGCATGACACAGTCCTCAGAAAAACACCACATAAAAGTGTCAGTGCTGCCAGCTAAAAAATACACATCAACAAAAAAATATTGAAGTAGCCCAAGATATAGCCAAAGACTGCAGCACCACAGCACTAGCAAAAATTTAAATTTGCTGACTGGAATTCTTTTGGTTAACTGACGTTTCAGATAAACGACGCTCTACTGTATTAAGTTCTTTATTAATTGAAAGTTCTAATTGTTTGGATTCATATGTCTAATGTATGTTACAATGTTATATCAATGAAACCTTAAAATTAAGTAAACAAATAAGTAATTTGTATACATTAAGTATTTCCATTCATTATGAATAAAAATTTAATTGTTATTCAAACAGTAATTTTTTTGTCAATAATTATTACATTTTATAAAAATCTAGTACAATATAGAACCAAATATCTGACAAGCTTGGGAACTGAAGTGGTCCTGATTTCTGGACAGACTAAAAATGTTCAAAATTAACCTATTTTTTTAATACACTAAAATTTTTAGAAAGGCTACTGATAAATGATTCTATGATTGTTAAATTACTTTCATTTAAAAACATTTGTTCATCTATTTCATCAATGCAGCTCAGGCCATTTCACAATCTGATTTGAAATAGTTGTGCATTAACCCTGATCTTAAAGCATTAAGTTTTTGTATCTTTCTATGAATTGAATGAAATTAAAGGAATAATTTTTTCCATCTTCATATGAAAACTGAGTTATATTAATTTATTATTATGGTATTATTAAATTACAAGAAAATGAATCTAAATTGAATCTTTATTTAAATGTAAAATAAGTGTTGGTCTATTGGCTTAGGGTCTAGAAGTGATGGTGTGTGCATTAATAAAATAAATTGTCCCATGATAGCAATTGAGGGAAACAAAATATGAAGCTTGCATTAAGCCCTCTCAAATTTTTATCATTAATAATGAAACAGTTAAACCAATAGTCAAATAGAACCACAGAGAAAATTCTCTAATTGTAAACCTTCATTATTAACATGAAAAATTATAAACCAGAGAGTTGACAAAGTTTATGCATCAAAGCAGTACAATTTCCAGTTTAATAAGTCACTTTTAAATGATATTCTAATATCAGGGGTGCACAACCTGCGGCCCGCGGGCCACATACGGCCCCCTATCANGTCCGGCCCCCAGTCAGTAAACTTAATCCTAATTTGGCCCTTCTTCAGAAAAGGTTGTGCATCCCTGCTAATATCTATATATTTCTTCAACATTTGATTACATAGATAAATTTTTACCTTTAAATAATTCATCCAATACTTCAACCTGTAAAAAAAAAATTATTTAGAATGCAGTGAATTTGTTAAATTCTATAAAAAAGTATATTTCTTCACCTCATCTTCAAAACTGGTATGTGGTTTATCTTGTAATTCTGGTCTCATGAAATTTTTTCTGGAATAAAATATATCCTGAAAACAAAAATATATATCCATATAAAATAATTAAATAAAATACATTCATTATTATGTTTTTAAACTAATTTTTTATAAAATAAATTTTACAATATGCTTACCAACACATGATCAAAACCTGCAAATTCTCTTACTAGAAACAGAAGTGGTTTAATTGCACGGAGGAGAGTTGTTGAACCGCATGTTTTCAGAATAAAACGGTTTTTGGATATAAACATGCTGCTTTCACTGGAAAAAAACAGACTTCATATTAAATTTATAATTTTGTATTTTGAAACCAGGCTGAACGCCGTAGGGTTGGTGCAAAGACTGCACTCTAATTTTAAGTAACAGCTCCACACTCCACTACGTGCCAGCACCAGCTTTTGTATTTAAATGCTAAAGGATCTCCAAAGACAGAAAATTTGTTTATTTTTGCTATAATAATCAGTCTTTCTGAGCTAAGTGCATGACATATTTAAAAATTAATATTAAAAATAAAGAGTTCATATAATATAAAAATTAAAATATACTAATATTTAATAGATTAAAATAAATTAAAGNATTCTCAAGGTATCCATTTATGAAAAAGAGGTGTAATGCAAGAATCCCAGACCAGCTGATCAATTGCACAAAGTACTAACTTAAAAGAAATACAGTAGACCCCCCTAATATTTTTGTGGTTAAAGAAACCAAAAATTATTAAATAAAATCATTAAATATTTTGAATATTTTTGCAGTATTTTTGTGTGTTTTATGTAATATCAAATTATTAAATAAAACTAGCAAAATAACTGAATTGTTTTTAGTGATTAAAATTCATATCAGCTCTACAAATTTAGATATAAAGTCCCCTCTTAGTTAATCTATTTGCAAGTGCTTAACTATTCAAATTTTGACAAAAATCAAAAAACAAACTAAAAATTATATTTTGTTCAAATGCTTAAATTCCAAAGCATTCAAAATTTCTTATCAAAACAAGGAAAAATTTTTTAAAAAGTTCCTAATATATAAATAAAATTATAAGTACACATTTTCAATTTTCCAAAACCATGTTTTATAATTTTCTATGATTCTCAAACACAAAACCATGCTACTATTTAAACACTTGGCATTTTCTCATCTTTATTCAGTTAAATTTTAAAATTTCAAAATATATTTAAATACATGATCTATCCTTTAATTTTAAGTATTAACTAAAGCTTCATTTATAAAGGGAGACAGATAAAGTCATTTTAAACATAATTGTTCTTAAATATATGAATTGCAAAATAATTATTTGCAAATTTTAAAAAAATTTCATACCAAATATACCACAGCAGAATATAAACATGTAAAATTAATAATAATGGAATTCTGTCTTCAGAGAGATCCAATTGCAAAAAATTTTGATAAAATATTTATTGGCTTTAAACTGTGGGGATAACACAATTTTTTTAAACAAGAAAAAACTTTTGTATCAGTATTTTTATCAGTAATTAGGAGAATGTGTACAGAACAACATTAATAGAAAGTTTACTGTCTTATAAAACAAGGAAATTAGTAAACCCCATTCTCCCAGCTGATAAAAAACTGCAATTATTACAAAAAAGTAAAAAAAATAAAATAGAAAGTATTTTAAAATATGATATTAGTGATTATTACTATTCATTGTAAGTCAGTGAAAGAAATGAAAGTTGTGTCCCCCAGTTTTGCCACTTATTTTATGTTAAGCCATTTTTGCCTTCAACAGGCAATCAAATGAAGGCTAATACCCACGATCTTTTAGAATAAGCTGGCAGTGAAGTGATGCGCCTCAGAGCGCAACACAGAACCATCTCTGCCTCGAGCGGTGGGAAGGAGGCATTGTGACATCTCTGTGCACCTACGTGCGCTGGCTGTAGACAAGAAAATATAGGTGAAATAAAAATTGAAGGGAAGCCGCTCATCTGTTCACTAATTTAATATTTTTTGTGAATTACATTATGCTATAATTACTAAAAACAATATTTTTTGAAATTGCAACTTCCCTTGAACTATTAAATTACATAAAAATATAGTAAAAATAAAAAAAAAGCATTATTTCTATTCAGGAAGTTGACTAAAAACTTTACAACTTTTATTTATAATCTTACAAAAATCAACTTATTTTTTTATTTTAAAAACTTATTATAATTGTAATGCATACCTTAGCACATAGGCATCAAGAAATTCATTTCTCTTAAAACTAATTATTTCACATTTTACAAGTTTTAGCAAAGATTCCCAGGTAGTTCTGAAAATAAAATTTAAAAATAGTTTATAAACAAAATTTTCAAATGAATTTCTACTTAAATAAAACAGTATTTCATTTTTAAATTTATTTTCTTAGTAATAAGAAAATAAATTTACAATAGTAGGAATGAAATGAAGTAGAAGTGAAGTTAGAAAAATTGTTAAAAAGATAATATTGATGGTTACAATAAGCAACCAGTTGTTTAATGCTATCAAAATTAGCTTGTCCCAAAGTGAAAATATCCTTATAATAAAACTTTGCTTATTATTTCTACTGTAGTTGTCATTATCTTCAGATAAATAAGCAATTCTTGAACAATCTTTTCACACAGTTATCATCAAAATGTGATTAACAATATACTATTATTTTATCACTAACTGTTAGCTTATAACTAGTGTTTTATTTTGCTTCCAAAACAATAGTTTAAATTGTTAACATTCCTTAATTATACCATAGCTGTCCTTAAAGATAGTACTGAAAAGACAGCAAATAAACAACATTGGATGAATTGTTAAAACAATGAAAATACATAATTTTTAAATTTATTAACATTTCTTAATGTCAACGAAACCAGAATTTATTGTAGTCTTACTGACTTACTCTGCTTAACAATCAACTGAACATTTATTAGGAGTCCCAAAAAGTGATNTTGTCTCTCTCTCTCTAAAAGAGAGGTTGTCTCTCTCTCTCTAAAAGAGAGGTTGTCTCTCTCTCTCTAAAAGAGAGGTTGTCTCTCTCTCTCTAAAAGAGAGGTTGTCTCTCTCTCTCTAAAAGAGAGGTTGTCTCTCTCTCTCTAAAAGAGAGGTTGTCTCTCTCTCTCTAAAAGAGAGGTTGTCTCTCTCTCTCTAAAAGAGAGGTTGTCTCTCTCTCTCTAAAAGAGAGGTTGTCTCTCTCTCTCTAAAAGAGAGGTTGTCTCTCTCTCTCTAAAAGAGAGGTTGTCTCTCTCTCTCTAAAAGAGAGGTTGTCTCTCTCTCTCTAAAAGAGAGGTTGTCTCTCTCTCTCTAAAAGAGAGGTTGTCTCTCTCTCTCTAAAAGAGAGGTTGTCTCTCTCTCTCTAAAAGAGAGGTTGTCTCTCTCTCTCTAAAAGAGAGGTTGTCTCTCTCTCTCTAAAAGAGAGGTTGTCTCTCTCTCTCTAAAAGAGAGGTTGTCTCTCTCTCTCTAAAAGAGAGGTTGTCTCTCTCTCTCTAAAAGAGAGGTTGTCTCTCTCTCTCTAAAAGAGAGGTTGTCTCTCTCTCTCTAAAAGAGAGGTTGTCTCTCTCTCTCTAAAAGAGAGGTTGTCTCTCTCTCTCTAAAAGAGAGGTTGTCTCTCTCTCTCTAAAAGAGAGGTTGTCTCTCTCTCTCTAAAAGAGAGGTTGTCTCTCTCTCTCTAAAAGAGAGGTTGTCTCTCTCTCTCTAAAAGAGAGGTTGTCTCTCTCTCTCTAAAAGAGAGGTTGTCTCTCTCTCTCTAAAAGAGAGGTTGTCTCTCTCTCTCTAAAAGAGAGGTTGTCTCTCTCTCTCTAAAAGAGAGGTTGTCTCTCTCTCTCTAAAAGAGAGGTTGTCTCTCTCTCTCTAAAAGAGAGGTTGTCTCTCTCTCTCTAAAAGAGAGGTTGTCTCTCTCTCTCTAAAAGAGAGGTTGTCTCTCTCTCTCTAAAAGAGAGGTTGTCTCTCTCTCTCTAAAAGAGAGGTTGTCTCTCTCTCTCTAAAAGAGAGGTTGTCTCTCTCTCTCTAAAAGAGAGGTTGTCTCTCTCTCTAAAAGAGAGGTTGTCTCTCTCTCTAAAAGAGAGGTTGTCTCTCTCTTTTACTGAAAAAATACTGTGGTTTCAAAGTTTTGAGCACTGTGAGAGGCTACAGAGCCAACCACAGCACAAGCGAAACATTTTAATATCCGTCCACTCCAACAAAGAATACCAACAAGCCAAAAAGGCCCCGGCTTGTCCATTAGAACAACGGAGGGACGGTAGGGAAAATGCCGCTGAACAATACAAACTTTCCTTTATCTTTTCTTCCATCATTAAGTGCTCAAAAACCAGTTTCTAAATAATCATAATACCTTTCCAGTATAAAGTATCATCAACAACCACAGCAGCTATCACCCTAAAAAGACAAACTGCAAACAATTATTAACACTTGTTAATTAAACATACAATCTTAAATTTCAATACACCAATTACATAATCATTTTGTTAGTCCAAAAAACATCTTAAAACTTTCAAAAACCCGTATGTACATAATTCTAATACAGAATGATAAAAACCATACAAACTAACTCAGGAAATCAAAAAACATAACCATTAAAACACTTCCAAAAAACACATTAAGACATTTTAGTATCTATTCATCACTCAGGATTGTTCCTTTCGTTGCCTTATAGGCAAATGTAGTCTTTCCAAAATTTTTTAAACTTGACACTAATTCCCTCTTTAAGACTGCTTTTATTTCGTCATCTTCTTTACTTATTATTTCATTCCATAATGCGAAATCAAAGTTTGTCCATCCTTCTTCCTTTAACTCATATAAGGATTTTCGATAAACCTGTCCTCCTAATTTAATATCAAAAACTTTTGGCCATGAATCCTGAGACGATTCTTTCCAATTTCTTCTCATTGCATCGGTGACTTTATAATTTATTTTCTTTTTTACAGTGTTTCTAGTTTCTCTTTCTGCAGCAACATTTCCTTTCTTTACTTCCTGTCCTTCACTTCCTGTACTTTCCCGTCCTCTTTTTTTACCATTTTCGTAAGACTCTCTAAAAAAGAGAGGTTGTCTCTCTCTCTAAAAAAGAGAGGTTGTCTCTCTCTCTAAAAAAGAGAGGTTGTCTCTCTCTCTAAAAAAGAGAGGTTGTCTCTCTCTCTAAAAAAGAGAGGTTGTCTCTCTCTCTAAAAAAGAGAGGTTGTCTCTCTCTNCTTAGCACATAGGCATCAAGAAATTCATTTCTCTTAAAACTAATTATTTCACATTTTACAAGTTTTAGCAAAGATTCCCAGGTAGTTCTGAAAATAAAATTTAAAAATAGTTTATAAACAAAATTTTCAAATGAATTTCTACTTAAATAAAACAGTATTTCATTTTTAAATTTATTTTCTTAGTAATAAGAAAATAAATTTACAATAGTAGGAATGAAATGAAGTAGAAGTGAAGTTAGAAAAATTGTTAAAAAGATAATATTGATGGTTACAATAAGCAACCAGTTGTTTAATGCTATCAAAATTAGCTTGTCCCAAAGTGAAAATATCCTTATAATAAAACTTTGCTTATTATTTCTACTGTAGTTGTCATTATCTTCAGATAAATAAGCAATTCTTGAACAATCTTTTCACACAGTTATCATCAAAATGTGATTAACAATATACTATTATTTTATCACTAACTGTTAGCTTATAACTAGTGTTTTATTTTGCTTCCAAAACAATAGTTTAAATTGTTAACATTCCTTAATTATACCATAGCTGTCCTTAAAGATAGTACTGAAAAGACAGCAAATAAACAACATTGGATGAATTGTTAAAACAATGAAAATACATAATTTTTAAATTTATTAACATTTCTTAATGTCAACGAAACCAGAATTTATTGTAGTCTTACTGACTTACTCTGCTTAACAATCAACTGAACATTTATTAGGAGTCCCAAAAAGTGATTATATATTCTATAGTACCCTGCTTGGAAAGTTTCCAGAATAATTAAGTGAAGAAATATATATATATTTCTTCACTTAATTATATAGTTTCCAGAATATATATATATATTCTGGAAACTTTATAAGTAAATATAAGATTTTTATATATATATAAGTGTTTTATATAAATCTTATATTTACTTATAAGTGATAAAAGATGTCCAGAAAAATCCACACAAAATATCTCAGGCTCTAGCTAATAGCCAATAATTTTAAATTATGCTGCATGTGATATAATTTGAAAGCACTTGAAATACTGTAGAATATTGGCAATGAAAAAAGAAGCTTTAACCCTAAGAGTGTTCAGCTTTTACACATTAAGACACTGGAAAAAGTTTACAGTATACCATTTTGTAAATGAACAAATTTCAAAAATAGACTATATATTATATTCTCCAATGTTTTGAGAGTGGATTACCATCACAGAGAAGAAAGGGGTAAGGTAGGAAAATACAAAATTCTAACAAAAATCAAGTTGGAAGGACTGAACCTTTGAAGACAGTGGCAAGGTTTCAATTCAATCTAACCCTGAAACTGAAATTCTCATACTTGATCAGCTCCATGAAGCTTTGAAAAAAAAAAAAAAAAACACATTAAATATCAAAAGCAGCAGGTAATTCCAGATGGAATGGTCATTGCAAAAGTTCTCTGAAAAGTTCATTTTGGATGACTTACCATACTTTGTCCTCTCACACTCAACGATCAATGGTAATAGTGAATTTTATATCAGTGATCTCTACATCTATTAAAGTTTTCCAAGAAAAAAAGATTTGATGGAAAAGTTTAGCTATCAATGCCAGTGATATTTAAATGAATGTTTGCAATGTTTCCTGATTCCTTATATTCAAAAGAACTATTCTCAAGTAGTATGTCTTTTGGTCAGATGAAGCAAGTTCCACCATACTAGATTACATCATATTCATTCTAAAGGAGGGAAACCCTGCAAACATGCCAGAAATTAGGCCAATTCTCAAGGTATCCATTTATGAAAAAGAGGTGTAATGCAAGAATCCCAGACCAGCTGATCAATTGCACAAAGTACTAACTTAAAAGAAATACAGTAGACCCCCCTATAATACGGTAGATACATTCCGTTATATATGAATTCGTGTTTTATGATCACTTAAATACATGAGCCAATCACAGCCCAGCACATATGCAGTTTAAGGACTACAACTGTTTTAATTTTATGGAAGAAAATCTTTCATTGATTCTAGACTAATTTGAC